CACTTAAAAGTCATATGTGAAAAATGAAATTTTCAGAAAGAACTGCAATGCTTCCAGAAGAGAATACATCAGATTGGTTTTCCAACTTAGGCTGCATTTCAGTTCTATGAATCTTTACAGTAAAGAGAATCATAAGTAACATGGTTTTCGTTTTATGGTCATTATGGCAGCCCCAAAAGGTTTCCTTCAATTTTGATGCAATATTACAATATTACAGCATATGACCGTTAATTTTAATAATAAAATATAAGTATCATGGATATTCGGAAAACAAACAAAAGTCTTCAAGCCCATGGAAGTTCAAAGTCAAACCTTGTAAATGCCACAATGTGAAAAATTAAAATGTTCACAAAACTGTATTTTTTCCAGTAACATAAGACTGGTTTCCATCTCAAGCTGTTATTTTAGTCCTATTTTTCATTTCTGTATGCTTGAGTATAGTGTCATGGTTTTTCGTAAATGGTCAGTGCCCAATATAGGCTTTTCTTCAATTTTGATGCAATATAGCATAATCACCATCAATCTTTAATTATGCACTGCAGGTAATGCGGGTATTTAGAAAACATTACTAGCAAAGGTCTTCAGGCCCATGGAACTTCAAAGTCACAGCTTTAAAATGCCAAACTGTAAACAAGAGATAACTGTACTGAAATGAGTTTATTTCCATTTCAACATTATTACAAAACACAAAATGATCATTTTACTATCATTTTCTTATGATCAACTGACAAAATTGCTGAGATTGGAAAAATGTCAATAAAACAATTTTAAATGTTCAATTTGCTCCATTCTGAGACTGAACATAGTGAAGGATTGGATCTGACAAAATGCAATGATATGAGTTTATTTCCATTTTTACATTTTATTACACAATACACAAAAACAGATATATCACCATTTTTATGTAATCAACTAACAATATTGTTAAGAAGAAAAATGTCAAAAGAACACTTTAGCATATCTAATTCAATGACGAGACTGTTCACCTGCCTAGGGATCGAATCTGAGGAAAAAACCACATACATACAAAAAAAGCATAACCTCACCAAAACTAAACTGATCAAGATAATTTTCGAACTTGATCTGTATATTAGTCATATAAATAGGTCTGCAAGTTTTAAAGTAAAATATGACACAGTTTTCATGTTATCTGTATACTGGCGGATAGAATATGTTGACAAAAGCGAAAAACGGCATAACTTTTGAAAACAAAATGGCCCGATCATGCCGATTTTCGAATTTGACCTGTATTTTATTAATATTCATCAGTTCTGTAAGTTTGAAGACAAAAGTTTTCCACTTATCGTGTTATCATTGCAAGTGCATGACGACAGCGACAGCAGATGGCGACAACAGACGCAAGTGAGAGCTATATGAACAGACACATCTGTATCTGTACATAAAAGTTTACTATCGGTGATCAATGTGACAATTATGTATTGCTGATCGTTATTTTTGTGGTACATTTGAACCGAGCGTCGGTGGAGCGTGGACTGCCATTAATGCATGTAAACAACTTCTACTAGTTTATTATGCGACTCAAATAAAGTCGACATGCTAAGGTATAAACTGAATTAATCACTTGATCAGCCATTAAAGAGCTTTAGACGGCACCTATCTTCAAATTTTGGTCGTAAATTTGGTCTACTTGTCTTACCTGCTCATCGACCACTTTTATTTACAGCACAGAAAGGAAGCAGAAAAAAATGCGTTCAAATAATATTTTTCGGTTAATATGAAACGATTTTCATTTTGCTATTTCTCCGAGATATATAAAATGAAACTTATGGTGTAACAAAAATTATTTCAAATCCATCTTTAAAGGATGTGATGATTTATGTACTTTTTAGTAGAATGTTTTCAAAACCTTTTGGATACAGAGCTTAAAATATATGAAGATAGTCAAAAACATGAAAATAAGCTTTAAATAATGAAATTTCAGCATAAAATATAAATGGGCGAACCCAAAAGAACAACTGGGAACACTAAACTCGTCATTATTTCATAATTTCTTATTGTTGTTTCACTTGAGGTTCACAACTTGCTCTGAAGCAACCCTCTTCGACTAGTTCTTATTAAATCTGCGAACGCAAGGTAACAGTAAGTGTATCGTCACGATAATATAGGCATTCTTGACAAACCCATTTCTATTTCAGCGACGTTCATGCATATTAAACGGTGCAGTAACATGTAGTACATACTCATCTGGGACTGCGTTTCACTAAATAAGTCAAAGATCCTTTTTTTGCTTAGACAGATGTCAACATCAGCACACTGTTTCGTTTCACAAAGAATATTTAAGGCTTCTTCGTTTTTCAGTTTTAAAGATAAATCCCAAAGAGCAAATTGTGCTCCTCTTGAAGCAAGTTTTACTCTCAGCTGACTTTTATTGTGGGCCGATAGTTCGTTATACGGTCTTACAATAATTTTAGCAGTCTAAAGCCAAGCTCAAAACTAACGTTTGTGAAGAGGGTCCCAGTAAACGATCCTTTAATGCCATGTTAACACAGTAAAACACAACTAAACAATTACACAATATAATAAATAACCATTCCGAAACCAATCAGTGACTTTTAAACCCACTCAGGTGAACGATGTCAATACCTCCCAAGTATAGCAATAATAATAATAATAATAATAATAATAATAATGCATGCAAATACAAAAATGGTGCCGCCTTCTCGTGTACACCACATCCTATGATTCTGAGCCTTCAGCGGGCTAACTGGATCGAATTTGATTTACTGCTAGGTTCTACGTCATTTCTCAAGCTGTGTCAACAAAAAGGGTAAAAATGTTCACTCATTCAGAAAAAAGCCCCTGTTGTTGGTATTATATTGTCAATGGTATAGACATTGTTAACGCCAAAAGAATACACGATACCATAATAGGTTATAACCACTACTTTTTACGATTAAGAAAAAGGGTCTTCCACGGAAAAAGGTTATTCCATTCTTGGTCCAATTCACAAGGAATGGTATAGAGGGATTCGGCGCGAAGAACGACCATCAAATTCTTTTTAAGACTCAGTACTTTCATCGTTTCACGCCCTTGTCTCGTCCTACACGTAGTTCCATATCCCAAATAAATTTTATTTAGATGACATTTTTAACAGGTTTCTTTGTTTCAACTAGTTCGCTTTACAAGTAAATTTCGCGTAACATTGTTAACGAGTCCACCATCTTTAATAGGTGCTTGAATCATATGCTCTAAATATCTACAAAGATAAAAGACGACAGAAATAGCGTGACCGGTCCCTCTATCTGACTGACGCAGCAGTTTCAGGCCTACCCAACTACCAGACTCGGCACCGAATGATCCTGAATTCACTGGTAAATTGGACCACACTACCCGTTTTCAAGGTGTGTATCAGTACGCATTTCACAGTATCAGACGCGACACCGCTCTTGCCTAGTACGCGATGTGATAGTGACGATTCTCAGCGGGGTTGAAAAGCATTGCATCACCACTCAACATTTTTTCAGGGTATGATACTGTGTAATGCGATCTGACACACACCTTGAAAACGGGTAGTGTGGTCTGATCTACCGGTGAATTTGAGGATCATTCGGTGCCGAGTCTGGTAGTTGGGTAGGCCTGAGTTTGGTGATTCAGTGGAATTCAATAACCAAACAGAAGCCCACGTCATCACTTCACACTACATGTACGCATATGTTCTTGGTCTGGTTTTACAATTCCGATGTGAATAGCTCTCAAGGTATAAATGTATATCACTGACAAGTCACTTTACATAATTTTAAATAAATTTTTGCGCTTTTTTTGATAAAGAAAAAATTACAGAGAAGTTTAACTTAGGAGGTAGGTGCCAGTAACTGCAAACCTCCTTCCCAGTAAACACAAACATGCCGCGACCACGTGGTTTTTACCAGTCACTTGGTAGCCACGTGGTCCCAACGTGATTTGTTCACCGGGTTGTAATAACATGTCATAAATACTGCAAATATAAATTATTAGACCTCGAACAGAAAAACATATAAATTCATCATCAAAACCGTGCTAAGTGATACAACCTCATTTTGAAGTTTCCCATACAATACTTACAAACAAATATAGTGGCAATGTGATGGAAAATTTACCCAAGTGTGAGATCAGCATTCGTTTTTAAAGCACTATCCTATGTTTTATATGACCTGTTAGCACAGCAACTGCTGTGATCACCATGTTGTACTTGCCATCTTTACAAGACAGCCAAAGTTCAAAATACAGTGAATCAACATACAAATGCTAATGATGTTTTCTAGAATATGCACAATGTAATCAACATGTTCATTATCAAGGAAACAGCCTTGAAAAAAGCAAAAATTTAGCGAATATCTACCTTTGTGTGACGTTTGGTTCTTTTGAAGGAAGGACAATGGTTTCTGGACTCTGCTATAAAAATTAACATTTGCTGTTTTAATAAAAATGTAGTTTGCCAGCTAAGTAAAGCCATTGCAAAACGTATCATTGAAGTTGCATATCAAACAAAAACGCATCTTAATATAGTACATAGTCATTTTTTTCGGCGTTTATCTTTCAAGAGTGAGGAAAATTAATAAATTAAAGAAAAACACAACCTTTCTCATTTAAGCGCCAGCAGAGATCTGGCTTATCATTTCTTTAAAATATGAAAACATCTTGGTGCTTCTACTACTGGCATTGTGTCACTCAGCATAGTCTTAACAATGTGTCCATATTTACAAGACAGTATACATAAATATATAACAAAATGGCACTGAAAACCTGAGCGCAAACAACAGATCTATATCAATTCAAAATTGGCTCTTTGACATTATTAATAAATGTAGTTGGTAATTTCATAGGAGAGACCAGAAAAGAGGTCATATGATACCAGAGTCCCCTCTCCTGGATATCCCCATTTAAGTTTTACCCTAATATTCCATAGTTGTTTTCGAAAGTCCAGAAGGATCTGTACCATCACACTCATATTCTAACAATATCTGGATTTTTTTTTTTTTTTTTTTTTGGGGGGGGGGGGGGGGGGGGGGGGTAGACAAAAAGATTGGGTTTTCACACCTTTTTTGAAAAACTGGAGGATGTGGAGGGGAGGGGAAAACTAACGATTCTGTAATTGGTGTAGATGGAGCAGTTTCCTCTTTCTTGATCTGCCTATGTTGAGTATCATTAAATTTTCAAATTCTGTGAAATATTTGCATAACAAAGGTGAGACAGCATATGTTACAACGTGAACAAAGATTGCATGTGAAAAATTATCAACATTCTAACAATATGCATATATGTACAACTCAGTATGTGACAGGTCTGCATATGTAGCAGGTTATACAAAAAACAAACAAACAAAAAAAAATAATAATAACAGTGCCATAAATAGCTACAAATATAACAAAAAGTATCACAAAACAAATACTGAAACAGTAATATTGTCATATGTGCCAAACAATAATTATTATAAATCACAACACTGTTGGCAAGACTTTCTTTACTAAGTGTTCTCCAGAACCCTTCAAATTTGTTAAATAATCTCCTGTTCAACTACCTGAAGTTTAGTATTTGCTTTTTAACATTTGAAAATTTGAAAATTGAGCACTTTTTTAAAAACTATGTCAACTTGGTAATTAACCTAATAGTAACTGAGACTCTATGCCTTTTAAGAGGAGTTTCTAATTAAGATGGTTCCACTCAGTTCAGCACAACATGCTTCAGCAGGCCATTCCATTGAGATTAGACCACCAAACAAACAGGTCTAATCCTTCTGTAACCCACTTCACCTTCACTCCAAGGTCAGTCTGGTGCAATTAAGAAAGTTTCCTTTGAAGTAATTTCAGTCCGAGTCAAAACCTATAAAGTCTTTAGAACACAGGAATCTCATTGGCCCAAGGAAGAAATTGTGGCTAGTATATATATATATTACCAAACAAATTTATATATTTTACTGGCCTGGCTTCAGTTCTACGACTACAGGCATTTGGTAGGGCTCTTGCGGTCCTGAAATTGCAGTGTATCACTCTATGTATATACTGGCCTGCTGACGTAATTGTGCGTAACAAACAGCACTTGACTAGAAACATGACTGTAGATGGCAAACAACCAATAACACAAACAATATTCAATGCCACAAATATGCAAAATATACAAAAAATCCTGGAGCACTAAATAATGATATCAACAAATTATTGCAATCTGAATTAATAAAGTTTGGCTCTCACATGCCACAAACATGCAAAATTTACAAAGATTCCTGGAGCACTTAATAATTCTATCAACAAATTATTGCAATCTGAGTTAACAAAGTTTGGCTCTCACGTAATACTTAATACATTGTTAGAAAAAAAAATCATCAGTATCCTGTCCATGGGGGACAAAATCTCTTTCACAAGCTTAAATATCGCAAAGTGAAAATAAAAAAAAAGCACCAATCTGTGTTTGTCCAATTGAGTTGCCCCAAAGAGGATGGCAGACACCATTTAACAAGAAATGAGCACCAACAGAGGAATACTAGTCACTTGTCTCTCCATCTTTTCCTCTTGTATATTTTCTTTTCACTCCCATTATCTCTCTTCTCCACTTATGCCTGATTTTTCCTTATGCCTAATTTTCCTACAAAACTAACAGACACTTTTTCTAAACTTTCCTCTTCTGTCAAACCACCTTTATCCTTTACTTCTTCGTCCATTCATTTCTCACTAATTAATACAATGTCTTTACCCATTTCTCGTTGTTTCAGTGCGCCTTCATTCCTCCAACTCGATCTCTTTTTTGTCTCTCTTTTGGCCGAAGAGCTGCTTTTTGAGTATCAGGTCAATGAACACCAGCCTGTTCAGCGCAGCAGAGGATGCCAGGATGCCTGCAAACAGAGCGCCAGCAAACCCACAGGAGAAGACATCTTGACCTGAATTATATAATGTGGGAATTGAGGAAATTTTAAATCTGATTACACTGAAGCAAAGGAAGAAGGAAGAGAGAGAGAGAGAGATCGATTTCACATGCATTTTTGAGATAAATGACTCCCATTTTCTATTACTCACACACAATGACTTAACTTATTTATTGCTACGCAATTCACCATCCAACTCACAAGTTTATAACTTGAAGAAAATTGAATGACCTTTTTAACATGACACCCTGGCTGTTTCCCCATCAACTTACCAGTCAAGATAAGGCCTGGTATATCTGTCTGTGCTCTAACATGAGAGGTCATCTCAGGTGAGAACCTCGAGAAGTCGTGCTCCAGTCCGTAGATCTCACCCCTTGGAGTACCCAAGTAGAACTTGTTGGACAGAGGAGTGCCAACGTCAAAATACTCCACCTAGGATACAAGGTGTGAAGAATGTATGGTACGTCTTACAGAAAGCCAGTTGGGGGGGGGGGGGGGGGGGGTAGTAAAAGTTGCTGTAATATGATTTCTATCTGAAAAACAACTGGTAGCAGTATTCAAATTTGCATGCATCTAACACACTTGTACTACAGCTGTTATAGTGCAATTCAAATTCAAATTTATCAATTTATATCAACTTGTAATGTATTATCTTTCAAACTAGCTCATCTTTCAAACCATTATAATTTGTTTTCCAAATTACTTTTTCTTCTTTTTTTTCATAGCCTAACAGACTTTACAAAAGGCGTCGGACCGTCGGACATGCCTGGCAAATTTCGTCTCGGTCCGATAAAAAATCACGTATCGTCGGACCTTATGTCCGGCGNTAAAAATAAAAAATAACCTCCTGTATTTTACCTTATCTGCCAACTGAGGAAACTTCCTCAAACACTGCTCCCATGCCTGATCAGCAAACTTCTTCTTCAAGCCTTCGTAGTCCTCCCCTCTGTGCATGATCCTCTGATCCTCCCATCGGGAAAACCACTCCCAATTCACCAGGGTGATCACAGTGCAAACAGACTGACCTAGAAAACAGTTGAAATAATTTATCATTTTTGTCATTTTCAAACAAACCTCGAATTTTGAGAAAATTATTGGCTATGATTAATAATTATTTCTCATGGTATGGCGTAAATGTGAGTCACCCAGTACAAGCTATCTAGATTCTAGTTAGAGTTAAAAGGAAAAACATACCAACACCACTCCCACGTTGGGTAGTGTGGATATAATTATTAAAGGTGTCAAGAAAATAAGTTTTAGGATTTGAAAGCAGCAGGATAATTGTGGGGCAAAGAGATTTTCATTGGAACCAGTCAATGTGTTTTGTGTTGAGAACTGTCACACCTAACACATTCTACATGCCTTTATATAAAACAATGCTTTTCCAGCACATAAAAACACCTACTAGTCAAACTACTTCCATGTGTTAAAACTGAAATCTAGAAATATTTAAAATGTCTCCCACAAAGATAAACTTTAATTCATACAAATTCTATATCATTATGCTACTGTTTGATGTTGTTGTTTGTACTCTCTCTCTCTCTCTCTCTCTCATGCACACACACACACAAATCAGATGGAATCATTAGGTTCAAGATAATAGTTATTATAATAGTTTACCTGGGTATCTCTGTTGCCAAGTTGGATCTTTAGCTGAAGGAAAAGATGCAAACACTATGGGGGTCTCGGCTGTGCAGGCTTCTTGGGCTGTCATGGCTAGATAGTCTGTGAAACTGCGATCTACATCATCACTACAACAAATATGGATAAAAACATCCTTAATGTAAACATAGCTATTACAAACAATCCTGAACCCCATTATACTTTAACCTTTACAGCTGAACTGCACTCAAGGGATTGGGTCCAAATAGCAAACAGTTCTCACTTCAATCAATATTGTTTCATTAATTTGTCTTAAACCCTGTGATGGGAAATCATAAGAAAATGCTGACTAAGTTTATCTAGTCTGAGTGCTACTTTCACATACAAATAAATTCTCTAAATAAATAAAATCAAACTGAACATCACACATTACTGTTAAAATGTTTCCTTGATTACAATAATAAATAAATAAATAAATAAATAAATAAATAAAAATAAAATGATGATAATAACTGTTAGATACTGTACTCCAGATCAGCGAAAAATCAATAACAGTATGAAATAGCATCTCTGCAGCATATTAAGGTGATCTCTGCAGTTCTTCTCTGGCATTGATTTTTACCCATCACACTACATTAGCCCAGTGAAAACTAAACTAATTCCAGATACTCACTGACAATTAGTGACTCGTGATGAACATTTTCCATTTCCTAAAACATTTCCTATCATTAAATACTAGGCAGGAAAATCAACATGAAGTCTAGTATTTTTGAAGACTTGGTAATCAATATTGCCACAATCAAGTGATAATTAAGAAGAGGTAAGAGAAAAAAAATGCTTTCAGAAATGGTTATCACAAATCGGAAAGAGCCAAATTAAAGCAATAATAACTCTTCGTTTCAGCCAAAAAATGAATTTTCCTGGAGTAAACAACAATTTTCCCATACTTACCAATGGTTAATGAATCCATTTTTACATTCAAAGTTAGTCCCTGGTTTTTTTCTAAAAAGTTTGGTTTTTTGCTAAAATCTCTTAAGAGATTTTAACAGAGTATAGACATCAATGGAGGTCATGTGGTCTAAAGACAAGTTCAAATATCAGAATAAAAGCTATAACTGCTGTTTTTGTGGTAAAACAGAATATATTATATTTCTATGAGTTATTCACAAGTTTTTTATTGTGAAATATAGGTCTCATACGAAGAGTTATTATCCCTTTAATGTCACCAAATAATCTGACTGCTCACAGAGGAATATCAAATTCAGAATCTGTACAAATTGGGCACAATGATTTATTTCCTTAAATATTTAAAAGTTTGTCTGGAAGGTCATAAACTGAAACACTTTAAATTTATTGACTGATTAAACATTTCATCACTGAATTAATCTTTTAAGTTTTTTAGTGAACAATGTCTTAATGTGTTTTAGTTACTTTTATCCCTCTTATATAGTGAATGCACAATCCAATTTTTAGTTGCAAAATTGATTATTATCATTATTGTTATTATTGTAGGTCCTGACCATAATCATGGTTTCATCTTTTCAACACTTATTCTCATTTGAATTTTATCTTATTATATCTTACTATCACTATATCATTTCACTTAAAATTAATTATTATGCATTTATTTATTTATCAATCTATTTAATATAGTCCCATTATTATCCCTGCATGATGAAAACATCAATACTTGCTACCAGCCAGTATTCAAGAATGAGAGCTCCAAAGAAAAGCACCTGTCAAACAGCCACTACATCATGTACTACATTGCTGCTGTATCGCCTCTCACCCTTACAGTACCAAGTACTTCCTTATCCTTTATTTAAGATCAATAATACACACCCTACCAACTTGGTGAAAAAACAGGTAGATATGGGTATAATTCCTATTGAAATCTACATGTTAACTAGTGTCTCGGTTCTAAATAATCCAAAATCCTACTGTTTACCTTGAATAGATAAAATGATTCGCTGGAGACAGGTTCAACTCCTCAGTCGTCCCCTTGAGACCAACAAACAGCAGCATGGCCGTAGCACCAGGTTTTTGAGCTAAATCTCTCAGTGGCTTGTAGTACTCTGAAACAGAAAATTTAGAAATAGGACCAACAGGGATGAGACTGCCATGAAGTGAAAAAGTCTAACAATATGGTGTGGGATGCAGGGGGCCGGCTGCATGATCTCAAAACTGATATTTTTGGCTCCCAAAACATTGGAAATGTCATTACTGGCATGTGTTGTCTACTTCTGTTTTAACATGCCTTAATAAGAACTTGAAATAAATAGGAACAGTCTTCAAAAGTCAAGGCACCCATGCAATTTGATTGTTTTTTTTTTTTCTTGCCACTTGAACTGACGAACAGCTGCCACAGTAAATGAGCAATAGAATAAATAGGAATTATTTGAACATTGAGTGAATGGAATGAAGGAAAAAAGATGATTGAAAAAAGTATGCAAAATATTAATTAACGAAACAAACCAGAAGTAAATTCTATATATATATAATATAAATGTATGAAGCAAAAAGGAACACAAGAAGAAAATAAACTTACTAGACTTGAGCATTACTTCTCTTGGCAACAGTGACTCAAATGTGTTCCATAATCCTGCATCAGAGATCACAGTAGGGGCAAAGATGTTCACTTCCTCCTTATTCTTTGTCACGCACACACCTGACGGACAAATCAAACAATATGATAAGACACCTGTGGTTGCACAGCATACTAATTAATATCTACCAGTAGTCTAGGTCTCATTAAACACCAGGTACCCTACTGTTGATTGAAAATATTACGCTTATCAGTAAAACCAAGATGATACTGTGCCACATGTGGATATACACATAAAATAATGAAAAAAAAAATCAGTTTTTACTTTGTTAATTTACAAGTGCATTTCATTTGCTTATAATATCTTAACTATTTTAGTTGTGTAATTTTTTCATATCTAATTTCTGTGCAATCTGTTATGTAACAAGCTGATATATATATATATATAATTTGCTGTAAATCAGAATTTATTTGAACTGCAATTAATAATATTAATTAGTATCATGGTCATACTGTTAATTTATAAGGTTACTTCACCCACATTTAAAATTCTGCCACAAATATTTTACTTTCAGTACTATTGTTCAGAAACTTTACCTCCAACTATACAACATACATATGCACACAGACATGCACACACATTCTCCATATCGCACTAGTTTCCAAGAGACCATCTTGATGAAAAATACATGGCAAAAGTGTAGACTGGAAGCATAATTTCCTTGAATTGACATCTCACCTATGACTTTTCCCTCCAAATCTAAGAGTATTTTACTGACAGGTGCCCTCACCAGCACCCCTCCTCCAGACTCCTCTATGGTGGGGATGAGACAGTGGGCGATCTCACTAGTGCCCCCTACTGGGTAGTAAGAACCGTTCTTCACAAAGTGGTTCAGCACCGTAGCATGAGTAAAGAAGGAGCTGTACTTCGGGGGAGTCCCTAGAATAAAATAGTTGTTACATACTGTACATGCCCAAAGCAGTAAAACAGTGGGAATTTAGGAGCAGAAAGTATCAAGAGAATTCTGCTTATAATAAGTGTGCAAAGTTCTGAAAATCACTACTAATCATACCATTGACATTTAAGACATACATTCATACAATAGATAATTTGCCATCTAAAATATTGGTAAGTAAATAACAAGGTGTAATAATAATAATAATTGCCCTGTATGAGATTGTAGTAATTTACAGAAAAAAAATATTGTCGGTCATTACTGAAATGGAAACAGTATCTCACCATAGTCTGCGAAGACATACGCAAAGACAGTCTGAAGTGTTTTGTTGTCTGTGAGCCCCTGGATAACATCCAATGTATTCTTTTGGGTCAGCAAAATATACCTATTGATGAGTCCTGATTTTATGAGCAGCCAAGACACCCAGGTGGGCAGCATTTTGNCACGCTGGTGGTACTAATAAATAGGAACAGTCTTGAAAAGTCACAGCACCCATGCAACTTGATGGTTTTATTGCCACTTGAACTGACGAACAGCTGCCATAGTGAATGAGGAATAGAACAAAGGAATTATTTGAACATTGAGTGAGTGGAATGAAGGCAAAAAAGACTGATTCTGAAAAAAAGTTTCTAAAATATTAATGAACGAAACAAACCAGAAGTAAAATAATATTGAATGAAGCAGAAAGGAATGCAAAAAGGAAATAAACTTACTAGACTTGAGCATTACTTCTCTTGGCAACAGTGACTCAAATGTGTTCCATAATCCTGCATCAGAGATCACAGTAGAGGCAAAGATGTTCACTTCCTCCTTATTCTTTGTCACGCACACACCTGACGGACAAATCAAACAATATGATAAGATACCTGTTGTTGCACAGCATACTAATTAATATCTACCAGTAGTCTAGGTCTCATTAAACACCTGGTACCCTACTGTTGATTGAAAATATTAAGCTTATTGGTAAAACCAAGAATGATACTTATGTGCCACATGTGGATATACACATAAAATAATGAAAAAAACAGACAAATTTCAGTTTTCACTTCGTTAAGTTATTAGTTTATTTGATTTGCTTATAATATCTAAACTATTTTAATTGTGTAATTTCATCATATCTAATTTATAGATAATATAGTGTAATCTGTTATGTAACAAACTGATATATATATATATATATATATATATATATATATATATATATATATATATATATATATATATATATATATATAAAATTTGCTGTAAATCAGAATTTATTTGAACTGCAATTTATGGCATTAATTGGTATCACGGTCATACTGTTAATTCATATAGGTTACTTCGCTGACATTTAAAATTCTGCCTCAAATATTTTACTTTCAGTACTATTGTTCAGAAACTTTACCTCCATCTATACAACATACATGCACAAAGACATGCACGCACATACCCTACATCGCACTAGTTCCCAAGAGACCATCAGGATTAGAAATACATAGTAAAGATGCAGACTAGAAGCACATTTTCCTTAAGTTAACATCTCACCTGTTACTTTTCCCTCCATATCTAAGAGTATTTTACTGACAGGTGCCCTCACCAGCACCCCTCCTCCAGACTCCTCTATGGTGGGGATGAGACAGTGGGCGATCTCACTAGTGCCCCCTACTGGGTAGTAAGAACCGTTTTTCACAAAGTGGTTCAGCACCGTAGCATGAGTAAAGAAGGAGCTGTACTTCGGGAGAGTCCCTAGAATAAAATAGTTATTATATACTGTACATGCCCAAAGCAGCAAAACAGTGGGAATTTAGGTGCAGAAAGCATGAAGAGAATTTGGCTAATCATAAGTGTGCAAAGTAAGTTCTGAAAATCACTATTAATCATACCGATGACATTTAAGACATACATACATACAACATAATTTATCATCTAAAATATTGGTCAGTGTATAACAAGGTGTAATAACAATTGCCCTGTATTAGATTGTCGCAATTTACAGAAAAAAAAAAAAAAAAAAAATATATATATATATATATATATATATATATATATATATATATATATATATATATATATATTGTCGGTCATTACTAACATGGAAACAGTATCTCACCATAGTCTGCGAAGACATACGCAAAGACAGTCTGCAGTGTTTTGTTGTCTGTGAGCCCCTGGATAACATCCAATGTATTCTTTTGGGTCAGCAAAATATACCTATTGATGAGTCCTGATTTTATGAGCAGCCAAGACACCCAGGTGGGCAGCATTTTGAGGATGCCGCAGGGCCAACTGTACGCACGGGCCTCCTGAATTGAAAAAACTATTAAAGGCATGTCGTTCACCCCAGAAAACTTAAAGGGGAGTCTAGTGTTCTTTTTGGCCAAAATTAAATGGATTTTTTCTTGGGTAAATGACGATTTTTCCAACACTTGCCAATTGTTAATAAATCCATTCCGACATTCAAAGTTAGCCCATTTTTTTCTAAAAGTTTGGTTTTTGTAATAATCTCAAACCTCTTAAGAGATTATTACGGAGGTTTAGCCATCTATAAAGGTCCATGTGGTCTGATGACAAGCATAGATTCTAGAATAAACGCGATAGCTGCTCATTTGGTGGTAAAATTAATTGTATACGATATAAGACATCACAACAATATTCAGTATTACTCAGTTAAACAGGATAATTTATATATATGTTATATTATCAGGTAAGTAGAACTTGCCTCCAATAGATCAACAAATCCACATATTGCCTTCTCCTCCTGTGGGAAATGTTGAAGCAGTGTTTCTTTATAGCCCTCAAACCCACCACCAACTATTGGGATTTTGGTCGACTGAGTCTTGGAGGAATCCACATGGACCTGAAAAGGGCAGACAATGTCACGATCAATATGAGAAGCTGAGGAACTGAACCAGACTTTTTAGCTCAAGCTCTTAAGGGCCAACCATTTTATCATCATTTTTAAAAGTCTGTAAACCATTTTCTGGTGGGGGAGAAGAAAGTAAGTGCCCTCTGTACACTTATGGAAATATAACAAAAATGATGATTTTCACCCAAAGGGATGTGCTGGCTAAGGTTTTTAACCTGCACCTTGTACTCTCTGAAGGCGGGGGAAGGTTTGGAAAGTCTCATCTTTGTAGACTTGTGAAAATGATGATAAAAATGGATGTCCCCTTAGTCAATATGTTAAACATGTTAATTATTTCTGCTTGTTATATCGCACCTTCTCATACACAAGGCTATTTGATGTGAATCTAACATTTTTTACCAATAAAGACCCATGCCCCTATCTTCCATGTACAAATAAATTGTAAATTTGCCATGTATGTAAACAAAGCATTCAATAAAAATGTTATTCTACTATGAATGCAATGTAAACATCCCATTGTGAATATTGTGTGAATTTTCTGCACGCCCTGAAGCATATAATTTACTGTGTGCATGCAGGTCTTGGAAAGAAAATGATATTTCAAAACCAATCTTTATTTCTTGTCCTATTTTTAATAAAAAGCAAGCTCACAACTTGCCCTTCAAATGAATACAGAAAATGCTGCTTATGCAATCCCATTTATATGAGATACATTACTACAATTATTTATATCGATGGTGACAAAGAGAGCACAGGGTTATAATCATCCTTCGGCAGCATTATTAAGATAAGAAAGAAAAGAAAAGAAAATTTATACCATTTCCTTCTCTATCATTGGCTGAATGATCATTGCCAGTTAAGATGAAATTACCTACATGTAGCATTTTGAACTGTCCAGCCATCATTTGGACGGCCACAATTAGTGCTAACATCCCACTGCTTTGAAACTTTCATGCTTTTTTATATTAATTCTAATCGTGAGGAATCCAAATATCACACTGATAAAAATGCTAAAGCATTTCAAGATGCTTATGGTAAAAGCAAGGGAATAAGGACCCCTCCCCTCTCCTCACTGGTTCTTCCCACATGAAATACCTACATAATCAAAGGTATCTGACAGCTTGTGCCACTCTAGATTGTTGTCTGTGAGGTAATCAAGAAGGAGCCTCATGTCACTGCCATCTTGCATGCCCCCAATGTAGTGAATACCTGGCAATGAGAGAGATTATAGACATAATGAGAGAGATTATAGACAGAGGTATTATAAACAGTATAATTACATGACTACAGAAAAGGCAGGGTTTCAAAAAATGGGCCGCAATATTCTGTTTATCCTTTCAGCGGCCTCAAATATTGAGGACAAACATGCAGCCATCTTGGGGTGTTTTGCGTTTTTTTTTTCTGTAGGTACACGAGTTCTTTGGAAAAAAAACACCTTTCAGTTTCTTCATTTATAAAATAATAAAACTTGTGAGAAAAAAGTTAAATATTCAATATTATCACATGAATACACTCATTGTAAATGGGCATACTGCATTATTGTCCCTCACAGTCTCACTGCTGCGACAGAATGATACAAATCACAGTCACACGTTGTACTGTGCATGTATACAGCAAGGATGTACATATGTTGCATGAGATTAGGTTCACTATTACATAAGAATTCTGATTAGGTTTTAATCTCTCAGGCATTGTTGTGTGTGTGTGTGTGTGTGTGTGTATATATGTATATATTGTGGGGAGAGGTGCAAATATATGGTAGATATAATGAAGTGATAAACTGCTGGTATTACAGACATATACAGGTGACACATAACTGCCTAACACCTTTTAAGTCACATAAATTATGATCTGACTAAAACNAGATAATTTATATATATGTTATATTATCAGGTAAGTAGAACTTGCCTCCAGTAGATCAACGAATCCACATATTGCCTTCTCCTCCTGTGGGAAATGTTGAAGCAGTGTTTCTTTATAGCCCTCAAACCCACCACCAACTATTGGGATTTTGGTCGACTGAGTCTTGGAGGAATCCACATGGACCTGAAAAGGGCAGACAATGTCACGATCAATATGAGAAGCTGAGGAACTGAACCAGACTTTTTAGCTCAAGCTCTTAAGGGCCAACCATTTTATCATCATTTTTAAAAGTCTGTAAACCATTTTCTGGTGGGGGAGAAGAAAGTAAGTGCCCTCTGTACACTTATGGAAATATAACAAAAATGATGATTTTCACCCAAAGGGGTGTGCTGGCTAAGGTTTTTAACCTGCACCTTGTACTCTCTGAAGGCTGGGGAAGGTTTGGAAAGTCTCATCTTTGTAGACTTGTGAAAATGATGATAAAAATGGATGTCCCCTTAGTCAATATGTTAAACATGTTAATTATTTCTGCTTGTTATATCGCACCTTCTCATACACAAGGCTATTTGATGTGAATCTAACATTTTTTACCAATAAAGACCCATGCCCCTATCTTCCATGTACAAATAAATTGTAAATTTGCCATGTATGTAAACAAAGCATTCAATAAAAATGTTATTCTACTATGAATGCAATGTAAACATCCCATTGTGAATATTGTGTGAATTTACTGCACGCCCTGAAGCATATAATTTACTGTGTGCATGCAGGTCTTGGAAAGAAAATGATATTTCAAAACCAGTCTTTATTTCTTGTCCTATTTTTAATAAAAAGCAAGCTCACAACTTGCCCTTCAAACGAATGCAGAAAATGCTGCTTAAATGCAATCCCATTTATATCAGATAAACTACTACAATTATATATATCAATGTTGACAAAGAGAGCAAAGGGTTATAATTATCCTTCGGCAGCATTATTAGGATAAGAAAGAACAGACAAGAAAATTTATACCATTTCCTTCTCGATCATTGGCTGAATGATCATTGCCAGTTAAGGTGAAATTACCTATATGTAGCATTTTCAACTGTCCAGCCATCATTTGGACAGCCGCACTTAGTGCTAATATCCCATTGCATTAAAGCTTTCATGCTTTTTCATATTACTTCTAATCGTGAGGAATCCAAATATCACACTGATAAAAATGCTAAGGCATTTCAAGATGCTTGTGGAAAAGCAAGGATACATGGACCCCTCCCCCCATCCTCACTGGTTCTTCCTACACAAGGTACCTACATAATCAAAGGTATCTGACAGCTTGTGCCACTCCAGATTGTTGTCTGTGAGGTAATCAAGAAGGAGCCTCATGTCACTGCCATCTTGCATGCCCCCAATGTAGTGAATACCTGGCAATGAGAGAGATTATAGACATAATGAGAGAGATTATAGACAGAGGTATTATAAACAGTATAGTTACATGACTACAGAAAAGGCAGGGTTTCAAAAAATGGGCTGCAATATTCTGTTTATCCTTTCAGCTGCCTTAAATATTGAGGACAAACATGCAGCCATCTTGGGGTGTTTTGTGTTTTTTCTGTAGGTCTCGGATAATTTTCCTACAACCTTCAGTAATTCTTTTGAAATATGCTTCAAGGCCAAAATTCCAAAGGTGATTTTATATAGCCAGCACACTGCATGAAAAAAATTAGTCTTTAAAAAGCCCCAGATACACGAGTTCTTTGGAAAAAAAAACACCTTTCAGTTTCTTCATTTATAAAATAATAAAACTTGTGAGAAAAAAGTTAAATATTCAATATTATCACATGAATACACTCATTGTAAATGGGCATACTGCATTATTGTCCCTCACAGTCTCACTGCTGCGACAGAATGATACAAATCACAGTCACACGTTGTACTGTGCATGTATACAGCAAGGATGTACATATGTTGCATGAGATTAGGTTCACTATTACATAAGAATTCTGATTAGGTTTTAATCTCTCAGGCATTGTTGTGTGTGTGTGTGTGTGTGTATATATATATATGTATATATTGTGGGGAGAGGTGCAAATATATGGTAGATATAATGAAGTGATAAACTGCTGGTATTACAGACATATACAGGTGACACATAACTGCCTAACACCTTTTAAGTCACATATAAATTATGATCTGACTAAAACTGTATTGTTTGTGTGAAAAGGAAGTAATCCAGCCAATACATGTAGCTTTATAAAGCTACAGTCATGTAATACAACACAATACAATACTATAAAAAACAATACAAGAAAATATAAGCCTGCCATTCTGTCCTTTACCTGTGTCAAATTCATACCCCTTTTCGTGAAATGTATGACAGCTACCGCCAGCTTGGTCGTGTTGTTCCAGGACAAGAACTCTCTTGCCTGCCTTAGACAAGATGGCGGCTGAGGAGAGACCACCGATTCCGCTCCCGATCACAATGGCATCTAGATTCTGTGGGATTTTCTTTGTAGCAAAACCTGAAATTGATTACATCTTGCTGAATTTTTTATTTGATTTTGTAAAGAGATTTTCTTTGTAAAGGAACCTGAAATAGGTGAAATGGCAGAGTTTTAGGGTGCATTCCCAGAGATTTAGAGCGATCCAGAGATTAAGATTTAGATCGACCTAACTCCCTGAAGGTTCACCCTAAATTGCACTCAGCCGAGCGCACACCATAGTTAATTACCTCCTTACAGCTTTTAGTAGGCGGGACAGAGGCTTAAGCCGGCTAAGCTGACAGTAATCTAGTGAGACTTCCCATAGGGATAGATCGATCTAAAATCTATGGGAATGGGGTCTTAGACAAATTCTTCCCTTCCAAGGTTTTTCCCTGAGAGACCAATCCAGACGTCATCTGGAAGGCCATTTACCTAAGAGGACAAACATTTTTTTAAAATGTTTCTTTCAGTTTTTTAATTTTTTTTAATAAGTATATATTGGAATTTTATCATGATTTTTAATTATATCCATCAAAATTCTCATTTCTATCAACTAGTGATTTTATTTGACTGTGTCGTTATGCCTTTGTATTTATCCAACCCTTTATTGGTTGTCAATAATAATAATAATAATAATAATAATACAGGAACTGTACAGAAAGGAATATCAAACTACATACACCCATGCTACGATATTATCTACCAGTAATTAAGCAATATTTAACTGGGTATGATCAAAATATGTAGCAGATGGATGAACAAGATTTTACATACAAGTGCAAGCTGGCATGTACTCTGACAGAGAGATATGAAGTGTGACTACCCTGTACTAAATGTTAATTACATGTAGATATTTCAAAGTCACAACATATTCTGACAATTAGGCCATGTAATGTACTCGATTCTGGCCACATCGAATCCACTTAAGATCTACTGGTATGAGACCTTATAATCTTACAAAAATATATTTAGAAAGGGGTTTGAATTTTCAGATTTATTACCGTACACTTATTAATTGCTGTATACTAATTATTGTGAACAAGTTCCCTTAGGTAATTAGCATAATTCCACTCTGAGTTAATCATCTGTCCCTAGGTTTACAGCGTGTATTCATAGGCATAGGCATCAGCAAGCTGGGGAGCCCAGATACTGGGGCAGAGAGAGCTTAAAACAAAGACTTCTCATATGAGCACATAAAATCTTTCATTTAGCATTTCATACAAATTACAACATTTTGCATTTTGCTCAACCCTCTTCCACAAAAAAAAAAAAAAAAAAAAAAAATCATACATTCTTTGATCTGCAAACAAATAAAGGAGATCTTCCAATGAAGGAAAATTCCCATCTCTGGTACTGCGTGGAACAAGGGAAAAGATTGTTTATTACTGGGCAGGCAAAGAAATACTACCACTGATCCATCAGATAGCACATTTCATGTTCAGATCTTTAAGAAAGATTATACAATTTATATCTATAAATCTTGAAAGACTGTTGGTGTTGGGGTAAGATACATTTATAGTTTTTAAAAAAGAATGCTGATTGCGTAGCAAATGGTCCTTAATAGGCAATTTAACTTCAGCATAACTCACTTAATGTGGCATTAAAAACCCTCCATGGTTTCTCCTTCAGATACAAATGTGAGACTTGTTAATTTTTAGCCAAGAGACAAGGGTTGCCAAATGAAAGGCAAAACAGTATTTTAGCCACACAAAAACGGATGTTTCATTTGCATATTGTCTCTTCCTCCAAGACATAAATAAATAAATAAATAAATAAAATAGAGCACTTTGGGCCACATAAAAAGTGCTGAAAAAAACCATTAAAAAAATTCACCTCCCATCTTGCCATTTATTGATTGCAGTGAAATAAAAGCACAGATGTCTACTTCTATCCATAACTCGACAGGGTTCATTTAACGCTCTCTCTCCCTCCAGGCTCATTGCTGTGCTCAGATCAAGACAGCTGATTACTCATCTTCATATTTAAAAAGAAAATTGCTTTTTTTGGATCGATCAACACATAGATATAAATGAGTCTTTGCATGTATTTCATTCTGCATCTATATAAATATTTATGGATTCATTTCTTCCAGCATTTATACATATATTCATTTTATATCTCATTCCTAACATTGTTTACTTGTGTAGTTTGCTGTTAATTATTAACCCATTAAGTAATTTATTTGCCAATTTAAGTTATTTATTTACTACACTCACTCATTCTGGGACAACAACTCACATCTATCTAGTTACATATTTATTATCAAAAGAACAAACAAAAACACAAACATCAGGGATCAATATAAAAACAGCTCTAGGTCAAAAATTCCCCCTCGTCTTTTTGTCGCTCTGATCAATGCCAATACTTTCCCATGCTGTTCAGCAATATGAAGCATGCAGCTGTTCTTACATATATCGACCACAAATGTGTGCTTGGCGTAGACTTTGCACTGATATTCAAGTTAATAACGTGCAGCCGTTCAGTAACAGTACGGGGCAAGACGAAAAAAGCCCGGTAGCAAATACGAAATAGGCTACAAATACGTTCGTGTATATTTATCGCATCTGTATAAGAACTGGCACTAGATCTGACTATTGAATCTTTATCACATCCACCAGTTAGCATGTCTGAGTAAATGAACCACAAAATTTTATTATGTACGCAAACGGGAGATCGGATACTGTAGCAGCTACGGGTTATTTAAAGTTGCACTTAAAGCGGCACGGGACATGCCATGCATGTGGCACGGCCGTGTACAATACATGCAGTATAATTTCGTCAAAGAAAGAGCAGTTTTATCTCCAAGTCACACATGTCTACACCACATCCGTCAGCTGCGCTTGTCACTCGTTGAAAAAAAAAAACACATGCAATATGATGCTAATTACAACACTGTTACCTTGTTTTAATATCTTATCCTTCGACGTTCGATCTGTCAGACGCGCCGGGCCCTTTCTTTTGCTCGTCGCTTTCTTAAAGGGGCTTGGTGCGAAGCCTGACGTGAGGAAATAAGCCACCGGTATAAAAAGCCCACAGAAAATGGTGAAAATCCCTGTTAATATTGGATAGTCGGCGACCAGAAGGATGGCCTGATACAGGAAAGCCATCGTCAGTGTTGTGAGAGTGAGAGAGTGCAGTACATGGAACACATGATGATTGGACGAGTCCAAGTGGTAGGGGCGAAAGGTTACAGTGTCTCTCGCTATCTCCGCCGAGATAATCGGCCGTGAAACCTGTACAAGATTAGTCGTCGTAGGTTACAGCCGAGCGAATCAACATTTATCAGAGTTTAGTATACAGATGTTTTATTCCCCTACTACCGTGTATGTACACTGTTCTCTTTTGTTGAAAGCGCCGTTCGGAATATATAGGCCTATATTTTGATTTCTTACGTCTTCACTCATTTTGAAAATAAACAGACAAATATTTATAATAAAAATGACTTGGTCTTTTTTTTAATTGTGAAATTAGACTACTAATCCTTCGTGAAAAGCATTTAGAGCGAATTGGAAAAGTTTAAAATTTAGAGAAATAACGTTCACTAACTAATTTCTGTGTCTGCGACTCGAAAGAGATTGGTCAGAAAACGGACCAATGGACCCTACACAGTGTATAAGGCGATGGTTCCAGGAATTGTCTCGCGCCATAAGTCCACGACCGATTTCTTGGAAGTCTTTTGTGTAGGTCTATTATTAGTTATTGTTTGCATTTACGGTTTATTTATTAATTTTTAAAGTAGTCGAGTAGAAAGTCATCAATGAGGTCAAACTTCAGTGAAATTTGACTTATTGCTTTCAAGGGGGAATCCCATGCGTTCAACCTCATACAACAACAAAAATCATTAAACATACTGGACTAAAATAGATGAAATATAGGATACTAAGTACGTTACTTGACCTATTTTTACTGTAACACAAATCGTAAACAACGGCCACGTGGTGACATTTACAAGATCATAACAGATAAGTGAGCTGTGCTTAATATTTGTAAATAGATGCAGAAATGCGCAAATAATGAAACGGCATTAGACGAATGCAACATATGCACAGTCGTAGCTGATATAGTTGGGGGTCATCTGTGTAAACGACTGAAGGGCTTTGAACAAACTGGTTTATTTTTATTTAAAATTAAAGCGAATGTGAAGCCTAGCTATGTTGAAGGTTAAGAGATGGACTTTCTCAGATGTCGAGATTAAACCAGATTTGGTTGGTTGGTTCTATAGTTTGCAGATAAGACTCTGCGCTGTATACCAGGAGCAGTACGCCTACTGGTAATTTGGAAGGGGGATTTTAAAAAACTTTTTTTTTCAATTTTATTTTCACTCTTTCTTTCTTTTTTCTTTATTTCTTATTTTCGAGTTTTTATGTTTACCCCTTTTGACCGAGAAAGCCTAGCTATTTGGCATTAAAATCTGAATCATGAAAATGACTGATTAATTTTTTGAACATTAATTAACCGAAAAAATGAAGATTCAAGTAAACAAAAAGTTGTTGAATCTGTGGCAGTGAATCCTGCCAAACTGATACAGGGGCCAAATTAGCTTAGTTATTTTACTGGATCATTAATTCATTTGCCTTTATTGTAAAAAAAAAAAAAAAAAAAAAAAAAAAAAAAAAAAAAAAAAAAACTACTAGCTGTAATCAAAATTATTGAATTAATCATGCTACTTACCTGAGCTTAAATGAGACCAAGAAGAGAAAAAGATTGCCCGAGGTCAGCAAGTAACTAGGTTAGAACAGCTGCACCTTTGAAGGTAGCAATCGGGTCTTCTTAAAACGTAAATATACACCACCCGTCAGTTCTATGGCCTTTAATATAATATAGCAAAACATGCATACGCGTCCTATATAGGGCCTACTTTTACAGGCAGACTGTGCCTTTGGGTAGGCCTATATGATTATTATTTTCAGCCAAGCTCATCCGACTTTTTTTCTCAGGGCGGGTGAACTTTTAAGCCTATGTATCTCGTTCATAGATAAATCATTGATAAATTATGCAACACCTGTAAGCCTCATGTCTGTTTACATAACACGACACCAAGATAAGTGCTACGTTTCTGTTGACTTTCTATGCCTATAGTTTAAAGTATAGTTATAATGCTAGTGAGTTTGTGAGACCTTTTCTTTCTATTATTTTAAGTACCGAAAAAGTAGGGTGCATGCACGCGCATATAATTTGTAACAGAATAAAATATGCAATCCCGTCCACCCACCCCCCCTCAAGACACACGTCCACGCACGTTATCACACACACACACACACACACACACACACACATTTAAACAATCCGTGCCTGACACACATACATCTTATCAACATATTGTCTTAAATATACATGCAAGTATATTCTTCCAGAATGTTAAAAATATGAAAGAAAAGAAAAAAAATCGTTATGTGCGAAATACCCAACAAGACGGTCACCAAAACAACTTATTTGTAACGTCGCTAAAGTAACGTCACCCGCTACTATAGAAACTAATAAACAACGCGAGCACGACGTTACGTCAACGTGCACAGACCGTTATGAACAAAACGTTTTCCATTTTTCTGTCTTGGAGAATATCCGCCGATTCACAGCCTTGCTGCAAAGAATATCGGCATTTTGCGATGCATTAAAAGAGATGTCTCTTTCCCCTCGAATCGAGTCTGCTGGAGATTTTTGTATCGGGTTATTAGCTTCATTGCCTTCTAAGGAGAAAATGGTCAAGGAAATTACAACTAATGAGATATCGGTAATGTCGCTCGATTCATGTACCACTGAATCGAATCACAAAAGTAAGTAGGCACATACTGTGCTATTCTAAATGGATGTACCTTCTTAACGAAAAAAATCAATCCATCAACATTAGATCACATTGAAATAGGATAATGGTCAACGGTGTAGATATTTCTCTTATCAAACTTATTCCGAACAACATTAGGTCTAGATAAAAATATATTTAATTGCACTTGATTAGAAATTAAAAAAGAAGCCAGCAATCTTCTGTTATTGTTTTCTATTAATCGTTATACATTCGTTTCTCTTTCTAATGTTCGTTTCCCTAAAAGCTCTATGATTTTAGTAAAATAAATACATTGGATGGCCTATCTTCATCTACATTTTAGGAGAAGAAAGTGTTGTCAAAAGTATAGGAGATGGGGTCGATAGTTGCAGCAGTGTAGATATCAGAGTGGAAAAGTCAAAGGTACGTAAAAAAATAGGGGTAAATGGCACAGAGTTACCTCCCTCGTACTCTCAGAAAGTTAGGTGTTATGGTGTTATGAAACTGGAAACCGGGTGGAGGGAGTGGGGTTGGGGAGGAAATTACACACCCATAAAATAAACAATTTTAATTTCACGCATTGAGATACGCAGATTCGATGACTGTTATATTCTGAAGTCATTTGAATTATCACGAAAATGAATTTTAGGTCCTTTCAGTTTTCTGTGTTGTACCAATTTGAGAGACTGAAAAACTCAGTATTAATAGTCGCAAGAGAGTGGCCTAAAATGAACTCTTTAAGTTCGAAACGGTAAGTTAACCGGATTAATTTTTGGAAGGTACATCGGGGCTTGTGAAAGGGAGTAACCCTCCCCCTCCTCCCCCAACGTAATATTAATAATAATAATAATAGTAATAATATGAATTCGGTCCAGTCTTCAACTGTTGCAAGACAGAAAAATGGACCGCTCAATGTGAAGAGGGCCTTAGATAGGAACGCACGATGCGCTGTCATAAGTAACCTTCCCGTTACTCACGAGGCGCGTGACAGTCCCGTGACTGGTCATTGTACCTGAAAACAAATTGACATCAAACGTGACCATTATCTCAAAAATTCACATGCCAGTGGAATTGAAAAGCTGGGAGCTCTTAACTGCAAACATCAAATTGCGAGGTGAGGTACAGCTGCAGTTAATTTAAGACTGTAGATATAATAGGGAAATAGACTGTAATCTTGGTGAATTTATCCTAATAATAGAGACTTAACCAAAACGTTACAGATGCATATGTTACTTGAGGCAAGTAATAGGCCTACTAAAGCCACTAATAGACATGGCACTGGCTGATCAAAGAAACACGTGTAACGTGTTTGTCTGTGTGTGTGTGTGTGTGTGTGTGTGTGCTTGCACGTACGTAGGCCTACGTGACCGCGAGCAAGACCCAGTGTATACTATATTTGCCCGTGTGTATGTGCGCGCACGAGCGTGTGTGTGTGAGGGGGGTGTAACAGTTGTCTTACTGCTGGGTCCCCTTCTGTACAAAGACGCCCTTCTTTTTTTTCGTGAAAACTCACAAAGGACTGCTAAATGATAAACGACAGAGATGCAGTTCATTATTCCTTTAATACAAGAGATGGCGACTGACTTTAACAAATTAAAACTCATGGCGATTAATCATGAGTTTGGGCTTTGAAAACACTTTTGGTAAAAGCTGGTATAAATCACGTCCAAAATGTGTAAAACAGAGGTAAGTAAACTATTTAGGAAGAAAAATTGGTATACGTAGCGTCGAATAAGAGGGGGAGGGGGGAAGGCTACACTGTTAAACGCGGTGATGTTTTCTATCTATCTGCTATCACATGAAAAAAATGATAATAATAATTGGACATGAATTGGTATTGCAGATTTTAAATCAGGCCGACATTTGATCTCTTGCAGAGTGATGTGACAGCCACTCCCACCGGTTACGATGCCGACATCGACACCGACACGGAGGTTGATATCGACACGACCGAGGCTTTTCTTGACGACAGTTTGGTGGCGGCGCTTGATCTGAGGTCCGAACCTGTGAGTAACCCGCAGACGGTGGTGGCCATGCAGCAGGTGAAGAACGAAAGTTCGATCAGTGAAAGTGCCGCTGCCGGCCACGCAGAAACAGATGGGCAAACAGAGTCAGAAGCAGGTGAAACTACGTCATGTGGCAAACAGGACGAGAGCACCGATGCCATTGAAGCTGACGCAACTGGACGCGTGTGTACTGGTGGCGAAGGGAAACTGCCCGATGACACCTCTGGTGCAGAGAATCACTCCTCTCCAACAGAAGATACGCAAGATGTTACAAATGGTGTGAATGAAGAGCAGGCAAACTTCGTGGACACAACCACTCCTTGTGTTGACAAACAAGATAATGAAGTAGGCGAGACAGAGTGTTTGACTGAAAACGGAGAATTGGTCCCCTC